CTGTGCATTGCATAATATGAGGGAAATATGGAGCTTCTGAAAATTCTCTAGCACGACTTCCTTGTTTTATGTTGCTTATGTTCTTATTAGCCTTGCTCATTGTACTTCCTTTTGGATATAGTAATTTCTCTTTGTATTATTTGTTGTAAATCCCCACGTGTTTGCTGAGCCTCTTGGACTTCACTGATTTTTAGTGGTTATCTTGTATGATGCGAAGTTTCTTGTTTTCTCGCCAATTCAAAGTTTACTTATATATTAAGCTACTCTGGAAGTTTTGAATCCAAACAATTTATTCTCTAATTTCCTATGCTTCTGAATGCATAAGCACTCCAAATCACAACAATTACTAAATGCAGGGTCCTATTTTGCCATTTTCATGTTAAATGTATACTCCTAAGTTATAATTCTGTTTAGAGATGTAAAAGAATTTTGTTTTTGTTGTCAAAGTCACCTGGTTATACAATTATGAAGCTGCTTCTCAAAGGCACTAGCAGTTTCTCCTGGAAACAGGAAAAATGTGATGCTGTTTGGAAAAGACAATTTGCTATATTAGATACATAAACCAGGGTGTTCTGAGATTCGGCTTTGAACTGTGATGGGCAATGGTGTGTGGAAAATACACACTCCTATGACCAGCCTTATTGAACATTAAGGCCATTTACAGTTTCTCGCTTATATGTATATGTTACAGTGTTAGCATATTTGACAAATTAGAAACTTTTTTAGACCTAAAGTAGCCTATAAATTAATGAGTTCTAATCTTGGTCGGTGTCATCAAAGCTATTACTCGAATAGAGTGTGGTACATGATTCGTAGGTGTAGAGGGGTACTGAAGGATGGAAAGAGTGCAAATCGTGATCTTCAAAGTTCTTTTGGTGACTAATGTGCTGGATATATAAGCTTTTATGGTAATAGGTGCACATGGTTATATGAAGTTGTGGAAAGGTATATAGAGGCATTCAGCTTTTTGCAGATGAAGCTGCATGAGCTAAACTCGGAGATGCTAAGGCATCAAAGTTATTTTACGTGGAATTTTTGTTATGGTTGATGTTAAAATGCTTAACCTTGATTTCTATTTCTAAGACAATTTTGTGTGATTAACTCTTGTTTTAGCTCAAGGAGATTTCCAATCTGTTGGATCTGTATAGAGTCTTTGCTCCAACAATAGTGTGATGAGCTAAATGTAGAGTTGGGAATGTAATAGAGATTTTTAGATGGTAATTTCTGTCTTCTAAAGCTGAAAATATTTTATTATTTCTACTATACTCTGGACAAGACTGGACTTCATCTCCTGAAAAGAAATCAAGCCTCCAAGGGATTTTTTTCTCATTTTAATAAGTATTGAATCTATTGCATCCTCTGCTTTCCTTTGACCCTGAGATTCGAAAGTTGTGGTTCTTTGCTGAAGGCATCGACGAGTAATTAAGTAAATGTGATTTGCAGATGTTTTCTCTTTGATATGTAGTTAAAGGTCGTCTAGTTTTGTTTCAACTAGATTGAACACTTCTATCAAGAGGCCTCCTGTTGTCCCCAAAATTGCAGTTTTTATAATATGCGTCAGAAATTCTACTTTTAATGCTGTGGTATTGATTTGAAACTTGTTATTGAGATTAAATGTAGTGGGATTCTTTGTTCTTACCAGGTTGATTTTCTCACAATCATCTTTTAAAAGGAAAAAAAGAAATTGCTATGTTGATGGATTGACTTTATGTATTTCATTTTTTCCAGGTTCCTCCTTGTATGGGTCCAAATTTGGTCGACCATGGCTACTGTCAAATACAATAAAAGATGAGTTCTTCACAGCATGACGTCCCGTGGAGGACGACGACGACCGACAACGGATGAAGGACGTATGACTTTTGTAGTAGTGTAGGCCTAACAGGGTGCATTAGGAATATACTTTCGAATATTCCCTATGGTATGTCTCCTAGGATTCAGAAGGGGATTGTCCCTTATATATATAGGAAGGAAGTAACCTTGGAAGGCAGAGACTTTTTCGACTAAGAACTTCCTTTGTAATATTCATTCGACATTGGTGGTGATCATTTTTACACACTTAATCCTTCTGTTCCACGAGGTCAATAGATTTTATTTACCTTATTCATCCCTCATGTCTCTAATTCTAGAGTTTATTATACTTGGCTGAGATTTACCCTTGTATCTTCTTTAATTGATTTAACCAAAAAGGATTCAATATCTTTTGGGTCAAAAAATTTGGCGCCATCTGTGGGGATTTCTCTAGCTAAGATTATAGTTTCATCCAGACTCCTGAAAGGGATAATCACTTCTTCCGAGTTTGGTACAAACCAACAATGGTAGGGAAAGGAGATGCAAGGCTAAAAGCCATAGTAGGCATCACAACCAACCTCTTAGACACCATTAACGAAGAGAGCAGAGAGGATCATGAAAATGAAACACCAAACATCACGCCCGGGGGCAACACTTCACCTCCCCCGCACGGGAGCGTGACCGCTTCACGCGAAAGGGAAGCCTCCACATCTGCAATAGGAGAGGCACCATTGGTAGTAAGAAGACTGCTGGAAGAATGGCTAATTACAAGTGCTCTGAACACCATCCTTGATAAACCCACCCAAAGGGATGATAGAAATGTGACACATGCAGATGTCACAATAAACGAGGGTGAGTAAGACGGCCCCCGTACATGTAACACTTATGTTGAAAATAACGCAGGCAATGATACGATTGCAGCCGTTTTCAAGAAAATGTAGGAGATAGAAAATGAGAATAAGGCACTCCGTGACCAAATGAAATAACACCAAGAGAGAGTTGACAAAATACCAGGCGCTCCAAAGTTGCTGCCAAAACGCGACGTTGGGCGATTCATCGAGCAACCATACAGTGAAGAAGCGGCCCCGTACACCATTCCAAAAACCTTCAAAATGCCGCCCTACTTAAAGATATATGATGGTACTACCGATCCAGAAGATCACATCATCCACTACGTTATAGCCGTAAAAGGCAACGATCTCTCAAAAGAACAGGTACCATCGGTGCTGTTGAAAAAGTTCGGCGAAACCTTAACAGGGGGAGCCTTACATGGTACTCTCAACTACCAGCACGCTCGATAGCGACATTCGAGGAAATGGCAGACAAATTCGTCACCGCCCATGTTGGAGCAAAAAAGGCAGAGGCGAGGGTTAATGATATATTTGCCATAAGACAGATGCACGACGAGGGACTTAGGGACTTCTTAGCTTGGTTCAACAGGGTGAGAATGAGCTTGCCAAATGTGTCAGAAGGAATGGCAGTAGCAGCCTTCTAGAATGGATTAAACAGAAACGAGTCGAGGGCGGCAAGAAAACTGCTAAGCAGGCTCATGAAATACCCTCCAACTACTTGTGAAGAAATCCATAACGCCTACTGCACCGAGGTACGAGCCGACGAGGACTATCTAAACGGCCTGACCCAACGGTTGACATCACTCCAAACCGAAGCAAGGAAAGATTGTCATAACGACGGTCAAAGAGATCAGTTGGGGCCCCGTTCCGATTGGGAAAGGCATCAACCCTACGTCAGGATGTCAGTCCCGCCTCCACCATGACGCATGGATGCTCCTCCTCGACACATTGCACCATGTCGACATGAGAAAGGTATGCCTCCACTTCTATCCACTCACAATTTTTGTGTTTCTCCTTCAGAAATAGTGTACGCCCTAGAGAAACTCGACCCAAATGTGCAATGGCCGCAAAAGATGAGGTCAGACCCCAGAACGAGGAAGTCAAGCGCTTTCTGTGAATTTCACAAAGAAAGGGGTCACAAAACCGAAGATTGCATAGGATTACGATAAGAAGTAGTATGAATGCTAAACCAGGGTCACCTAAAGGAGCTGCTGCGTGATCGAGGACGGACTAACTTCGCCCGCGGACGCGAACAACCCCAAGGACCTCCAAAAACTGCCTTCTCCTGCTCGCACAATATAGATGATCATCGGCGGGGGCGATGACACAGCGATCAATTATGTCAAGTTCACCACCATACATAAACTCAAATGATCAATCACTCACGAACGGTATGATGACCTCAAAGACAGTATCATCTTTAATAAATCAGATACCGACGGTTTGTCTTTCCCTCACCATGATGCTCTTGTTATCACTTTACATATTGCAGATACTGATGTAAAAAGAATAATGGTAGATGACGGTAGCGACGCGTGTATTATCCACCCTCGAGTTCTCGTATAGATGAGACTCGAAGATAAAATAATACCGCGCTGTATAACGCTAACAGGTTTTAATAATACAGTTGAGCGGACCTTAGGGGAAATAGTGCTACCCGTCCTAACCGGAGGAGTCACCTTGGTAACAATATTTCACGTCATGAACCAGGAAACGGTTTACAACGCCATCATAGGGCACCCGTGGATACACGCCATGCGAGCGATCCCTTCTAGTCTCTATCAAGTAATCAAGTTTCCTACCCCATGGGGAATATTCAACATTCGAGGGGAGCAACGCACCGTACAAGAATGCTATCGTATCGCCCAAGATTGCGCACACACCCAACAACACAAAGGAGCAAATGCGGAAGCATAACAATCACCGATGTCAGGAGCCAAACCTAACGTGCAGGCAAACGTTATCAAGGACCCCGTCATCGTGGAAGAATCCGAATCAATGATAAAAAATCTTGATCCCATCCTACTAGACGGCAACGACAACACAAAAAAGGCTTACATCGGGCACAACCTCTTGGAACTAGGTAAATTTCATAAGTTCTTGACTGACCATGCCGATCTGTTTGCCTTCTCCCATGCAGATATGTCAGGCATTCAAAAAGATATCGCCACCCACAAGTTAAACGTCGATCCTCTATAATCGCCAGTGCAACAAATGAGAAGGAAGTTCAAAACCGCAAACAATGAAGCTGTCAGCGAAGAGGTAGATAAGCTACTCATAAATGGCTCCGTCCGGGAATCGAAATATCCTCAATGGGTCGCCAATGTGGTCATGGTGAAAAAGAAAAACGGAAAATGGTGAATGTGTGTAGATTTCACAGACCTGAATAAGGCATGTCCGAAAGATTCTTTTCCATTGCCACACATCGACCAGCTCATCGATGCAACAACAGGACATGAGTTGCTAAGCTTCTTGGATGCCTATTCAGGTTATAACCAGATCCTCATGGAAGAAAAAGACCAGGAGAAAACTACTTTCATCACTCACCAGGGAACATACTGCTACAAAGTGATGCCGTTCAGACTAAAAAATATGGGGGCGACATATCAGAGATTGATCACTAAAATGTTCAAAAACCAGCTTGGTAAAACAATGGAAGTCTACATCGATGATATGTTGGTTAAGTCAAAGAGGAAAGAAGATTATATCGGTCATCTGAAGGAAGCCTTCGATATATTGAGATGGTACGACATGAAACTAAACTCCGAAAAATGTGCCTTCGGCGTAAGCTCGGGAAAGTTCCTCGGTTTCCTAGTGTCACAAAGAGGCATCGAGGTCAACCCAGAACAGATCAAGGCCATAGAAGGAATACCCGAAACACTGACCAGCAAAAAACAGGTATAAAAATTGATGAGACGAATAGCAGCCCAGTCGATGTTCATATCACAGTCATCAGATAGGTGCTACAAATTCTTTAATGTATTAAGGAAGGACAACGGGATCCAGTGGAATGCAGAGTGCGTCGATGCCCTGAGGAAACTAAAAGCGTACTTGTCTTTGCCACCCTTACTCGCCAAAGCATAATCAGGCGAGTGCCTCATAGTCTACCTAGCCGTATCCGAAGTCACGGTAAGTGCAGTTCTAGTCCGAGAAAGCCAAGGTACGCAATCTCCAATTTACTATATCAGCAAAACCTTAATTGACGCTGAAACAAGGTACCCCCACCTTGAAAAACTGGCTCTGGCACTAGTCGTTGCTTCACAAAAACTTAGACCATATTTTCAATGCCACCCTATAAAGGTGGTGACAACCTTTCCTCTCAAGAGTATCCTACATAAACCCGAATTATCGGGTCATTTAGCCAAATGGGCCATAGAACTGAGCAAGCACGATATATCATACCAACCGCTAACCTCAATAAAGTCGCAAGTGCTCGCCGACTTTGTCGCCGATTTCAGAGCAGAGATACTGCTGAGGTCGAGCAAGAAGCGCTTCACACTACACCTGAGCAATCCGACCTTTGGGTCCTCTACATCGATGGCGCATCCAACGCGATGGGATCGGGACTGGGACTCGTACTCGAGGTCCCAACGGGAGAAGTGATCCTTCAATCTTTACGATGTCCTGAAATGACTAACAATGAGGCCGAGTATGAGGCCGTAATTGCAGGATTAAAATTGGCCCTCAAGTATGGTGCTCGATGGGTCATCCTTCGCTGCCACTCTCAACTCGTTGTGAACCAGGTTACTGGGACTTTCCAAATTAAGGAACAGAGGTTGCAGAAATACCAAACTGAAATCCACAAATTGCTGCCAGAATTCGACGAATGCCGATTCGACCAAATACCCCGAGCACAAAGCAAATGGTCTCGCCAAGCTGGCAGCGTGTTAGTTTGTATGAGTCCGCCAAACTGTAGAGTACCTATTCCTATATAAGACAATGCTGAGAATGCTATAGAAACTAAAAGTAAAGAAGATAAGGGATTTTTTCATGAAAAAATCCCACACTAGGGGATAAAAAAACCACGACCTACTCTTGTAGGCTTTTAACTTCACTAACTTGCAATCTCTCTATTACAAGCCACTTTGCAATATCCTTATTACAAAGACTTCAATTAACTTGTGATGCTCACACCACAAGCCACTTTATAACTCTCCTAGTTACAAAGGCTTTAAACTTATGACTATTCCAAGTCATAACATAAACTCGGAAGTTTACGGATTTTTGGTTTTTTCCTAAGACAAAGCTTCTAAGAAAGAAAATTAGGAAATACCATGAAGAGAAAATAACAAGATTACAACTCAACTACGGATGTACATAAACTCATTAAGAAACTAATCCTTAGTGGAGTTGTCTTCTTGTTCTTGACACACCAGTGACTTCAATGCGGATGAACATTGTTATGCTTGAGAGATTATCACTGAATGCACACCAAGGTTATGCCTTGCACTAAGTTGTTATATCACAAAAGATATAACAATAGATAGTGATGTCAATTCTTGGTACACGCTTCTTCCCAATGAGAAGTGACTATTGTACTGTCTGCACAATCACTTCTGTGCAGTTGCGTTCCCGCTGGATAGTTGACTTGTACTTATGTTAGAGACCACTAGCGGACCAGGTCCTAGTTGTGTTCCTCTTCTGTAACAGTTGCGAGATAGTCACTTTCTACTATTACGTTCCAACTGTACAGTCGACTTGTAATTCTGTCAGAGAACCCTAAGGGACCAGGTCCCTGTTGTGTTCCTCTTTATAATGATTGCGAACAGTCACATGCTTGTGTTGGAGAACTCCACGGGACCAGGTCACCAGGTCCCCGTTGTGTTCCTCCCTGTGGTTGTTCATTCATTTGCTGATTTTCAGACTAGACCAAGTCAGTTGAAATGTATACCATGTGGGTCAGGTTTTCTATCTGGTTCTTCACAACAAGTTTGTTAGATCATCAAAACATAAGAAGCATAAGGCAAAGACATTGAAAACCCATCAATTTTCCCCTTTTTGATAATGACAAACTTAGGCATGGATAATATTTGTTTAGAGCAAAAATAACCAAATAAGATACCAGAAACTACACAAAGTTGCTCCTTAATCTCAGATTTTTTTTATTCCCCTTCTCCTTAGTCTCAGAGCTCTGCTGAAATCTGATAAATTCAGAAACTACACAAAGTTGCTCCTTAATCTCAGATTTTTTTTATTCCCCTTCTCCTTAGTCTCAGAGCTCTGCTGAAATCTGATAAATTCAGAAACTACACAAAGTTGCTCCTTAATCTCAGATTTTTTTTATTCCCCTTCTCCTTAGTCTCAGAGCTCTGCTGAAATCTGATAAATTCAGAAACTACACAAAGTTGCTCCTTAATCTCAGATTTTTTTTATTCCCCTTCTCCTTAGTCTCAGAGCTCTGCTGAAATCTGATAAATTCAGAAACTACACAAAGTTCCCCCTGAAATCTAAACTACACAAAGTTCTCCCTGAAATCTTATTCTTCCCCCTTTTGGCATCATTAAAAAGAGCACAAGTAGGTATTTAGCATAAAGAAGTCTAACACAGCTAGCTCATGCCACATATGTGCACACAACATGACAGAAAAGAGAAGCCAAAGGAACACACCATTGTACAAGCAAAAAGGGGAGCTGTTTTATTAATGTTTACAATGGACTGAGCAAGGCAGGAGCAGTAATGGTGAATTCCAGCATGCCATCACAAACACAAAGGAAAACAAAAATAAAACAGCAGCCACAAAATATTAGAGCAAAAGTAGTTGGACATTAAGAGGATCCTAGGGGACACTAGAAGAAGGAGGCTTGGAAGAAGAGACAACAATGGTTTTGAGAACTAGGTCCAGTCGAGCATTTGCAGACAGTTGTTCGTCAAGTAATTATGCCCGAAGTTTATCATTTTCCTTTGTCAGTCGTGCAATTTCTTCATTAACAGAATCAGGTCCTTTAACTGCTTGACTGAGTTGAGTTTCCAGTATGGCATTTTGAGCCCTAACCTTCTGATCTCTTCAGAAGCTACTTTTTGAGCGTTGATCAGCTGAGAAATGGTCGAGATGCTTCTACCAACTCTTTCTACACATTCACATTCTTCTAAAATGATCTTAGAGAAGGTTTGCTTGCATGTGTCTACTCTGGGATTCCCCAAGGGGACCTTGTAGAATCTGAACACCTGAATGAGGAGAAAGCCATATGGTAGCTCATGATTCCCACCTTTAAAGTTTGCTACCTTTTGCATATTATTTATCATGATTGGTGGTAAATTGATTGGGACAAACTCTTAAAGCACTTCCATTAAGACCATATCCGATTTTGTAGCAATAGATCACCTCTCAGAATGAGGCAAGAGCACCTTATTGACCAGTTCAAAGAGAAGCTGATACTCAGGAAGCAATACCTTCTTATGCACTTGTTCCCCCTGCTGAATAGCTTGCTCCTTCATGATGGCTCTTCTAAAGTTTACACCACAGACACCCTTGACTGAGGATATCCATTCACATGTAATTCTGAGAACCTTTCCCAATGTTGAAGCATCGAGTACAATGTATACTCCATTTACTAGCGCACAAATGTGATCCCCCTCAACAGTGAAGAGAGATATGTAAAAACTTCATACACCAAAGGCATGCTCCCTTCACACAAGTTTTCCTATTGTTGAAATTCCACAATCTCCAGAATTTATCTCATACCAGCCATCTCCAAAATTGTTGGGTCAAATGTGCAACCCCATAAGACTTTTTGAGTTCTTAATCTCTGCTGCCAAAGACCACTATCACAGGACATGGTCCTCAGTGCACCAGGTTCTTTAATAGTTTCCCGTTTTCATTTGCTAAACCCTTCACCAGACTTTCCTTTCCAACTTACTAACCCCACAGTATCATCTTCAGATATGGCTTGCTCAGTTTGACTCCTTTTGGACTTGTTGCTGCCCTTCACGGATGAACCATTTTGTTGCTCAATAGTTTCATCGAAAGATTTATCCACAGATTTTTGAGCTTTCATAGATTGTTGTACTAAGGAACCAGGTTCCCTTGGAGCATTTTTGTCAATCCCACTTACTGGAACACTCTTGTTAGTGACAAATTCCCTTTGATTCATTAGCCTCTTTTTCCTTGTCTTGACACTCCTCTTTCTTTTTTGCAATGTGGACTCACAATTCTCTTGCTGCTGTGACCTGATAGTGGGTGATTTGGAGGAGGACTCTACGAGCTTAGAATGATCAGGAGGTGCAGGAGTGGGTTTGCATGGAAGAGAATCAGGTTCTTCAGAAGGTTTTTCTGAGAACGTTTCATGAGCCAAAGACTCGAGGAGTACTGTGGTTCTTAAATCTCCTAGGATTGGAGTTTCTTCCCCTTGATACTCAGACAAGAGATATGCTCCTTCATTCATCAAACTCTCAGCAGCGATAGCCATGATGTTATGCGCTGCTTCCTTTTTTGGTGACTCTTTGAGAGTCACTAAGTCCAAAATGGAGGAGTTCAGATACTGATTAGGATCATCCTCAGGGACCTCTGACACTTGAGAGATGAAACCCCCTGAGTGTTCTTTGATGAGATTGGAGGAGTGAAGAGATATAGAGTTCTTAGTATATGGGAGAAAAACAGGGTTTGTCAGAAAAGGAAAGACTATAGGAAAAGAGCAGGAGCCAGGTGTGGGTAAAGTAGTAGAAGGAATAGTGAAGCTCTGGGGATGATTTCAAGGATGATTGGGAAGTGGGAGTGGTGTTAATGGTGGGAGAAGGGGTGATTGTTCGATTGCCATTATAAGAGTACTTGGAAGACGAGTAGAGTGAGAGAGAGAGATGAAGAGAGGATCACAGCTACACAAAAGAGATGAAGGTTCATGACTTGCTATGAGAGAGAAAGAAAGTTTTATTGGAAGAAGGGCTAATGATGAGAGGAGAGAGCAACAGGTTCTGAATAGTTCTGAAAATTGCGATAGGTTTGTGGGAAAGTGTTACCGTGTAGAGGGGATGAAGGGATTTGAAAGACAAGACATGACATGCAGACTTTGATAAATCGGATGATGTGGCAGTTGAGTTAATTTTGTTAACCATTTTTTTGTTTTTGTTTTGAGGAGGCATGCAGAATAAGCACATTACTACTGACCTGGGGGTACAACAACCTGATGCCAGAACAATTTTTTGAAAAAGGTTTTAGCAACTCCTCCTTCGCAATACATAACTGTACCTTTTGCTTTTATAATCGTCATGCGTGTTTACGTGCAACAGTATTGTTGTGAGTTAGGCTTGGTCAGAAAATACTTTAGCTAACTTTACCCGACGGTGTCTTGCATAGCCAGATGATGGAGGATCAGGTTCTTCATTAGACTCTCATGACCCCATCTTCACCTTGTTTGATCCAGAATATTCTCTACTCAAGGCTTTGATAAAGATATCTGGAATTTTGTCTTCTATTCTGCAAGACTTTCCACAGATCAACCCTTTCTTCATATTGACCCTCAAAAGATAATCTCACCCCTCAATGTGCATGGTCCTCTTGTTTTGAGATTTATTTTTCAGTTATTGACGAGGCTATTGAGTTTTTCTTCCTTGTCCCCCAAGGGATGAGGCATGAACATGGCAAGTGAACTGTTCTAGAAGTGTTTTTCCTTTTACAGCAAAACCTGCACAGTTAACATCATCATACCCAACAGGATTAAAAACACTGTCACCTAAGGGGTAACACAGGACCAGGTCCTGAGTTCCCTTAAGGTATCTCAAACTTCTGTGGGCAGCCTTCAAGTAGGATTCCTACGGACTTTCACTTTGGATTCTATTCTGGAGTGGAGATACTCTAGAATAAAAGAAAGTGATTAACTTGTCACACAAATGAGAGCTTTTGTGTTTCCAGTTTGGGACTGAAGTTTTATTGGTAGGGGAGATTTGGAGGTTAATTTGATTTTCCCACACTCTGTGTTCTGTTGCTTGTGGAGTGCCATGAGCTGCATCTCCACTCTTTCCTCAGCTTCAGTGGTAGTACGTGAAGTACCAGGTTCCTCGTGAGGAGTGGAAGATGATGTTGCATTGTCTTTCACCACTCTCTTTCATCTTACTCATTTTATCAGCCTCCCTATTTGAAGCCTCAGATATTTCCCAGGGACCAGAGTTGGTTTATCATATTGATCATCACCGTTTCTTCCTTAGCTAGAGGAAGGTGTGAATACCCCATGGGCACTTCCTTCCATTTAGTGTGCCCTTTATTGTAGACTGTGGCCTTGCTTTGTGGAGAGTAACCCAGAAGGATTCCTTCATTCGCCTTTTGCATTGAACTTTCCAAGCTGGTCCTTCCCGCTGTCGAGAACATGGCATTTTTAGTCAAGAAGGTTCTCAGATGAGTTGTCTTTCAGTCAAGAAGGCATTTTCCTCCATTTGGCAGCTCAGAGTGGGTGTTGATTCGGGAGAGACCTGATCAGACACCTGTTTGCCAATTAGAAAATAGTATTTACTGCTTTTGCCCAGAATTTCTTGGTGATTCCATAGTCGATGAGCATTGTCCATGCCACATCTTCCAGTTCCGTTCTTTCTTTCAGCAATACTATTTTGCTGTGAAGTCCTTGGTGTTGAGAAGTTGTGCGTGATCCCTTTTTTTTCACTTGAATCTTCTTGACAGGAACCATTAATACCTCAAGAGTTTCCTCCTTTGTTTTGTGAACTCGTGCCCAGGTGACACTTGAGTTTGGCAGACCACGGACCAGGTCCTTCTGAGTTAATTTATTCGGAGATGAGAAGCTTGCATACACCAATCTTTCATGCCAAAGCTCCGACTTCACCCATCTCATACCACCAGCTTTTGGAGATCATAGTCGACAGAGTGGATGTTCTTGCTTCCTTTGTTCACTGAGACCACTTGGCCAGTCATCAGATTGGTACTGTGAGCACGTGATTTTTGCCCTATGAGAATTACTCCAAAAAAAAAATCAAAAAAAAATGGTTTGGCGTTGTTTGTGATTTATTTGTATTTATGGTCTGTGCATGTTTATTTCTACTTTAATTTAGAAAAATACAAAAAATATGTGTTGCATGTGCATTTAGGATTTAATTTTACAATTTAGGAATTAATTAAACAAACAAGTTTGTTTTACAAAATGAAAAATTACAAAAAAATAATTTACTTTGCATTTTTAGCATTTAATGTCAAATTGTGTGATTTTATTTCTAATTGATATTCAATTGTGTGTGATAATTATTATTAAGGGTTGATTAGTATTTTGTAGGATAATTTTGGCTTTACAATTTATTTTAGAATTTTTGTTTTGGGAATTAAAAAAGAAATAGAAGAAAAAGAAGAAAACAAGAAAAAAATCGGACTGGGCCAATTTTAAAAGAGAGTTCAGGCCCAGTCCAAATACCCTCTTGCCCGGTCCAACCCAGCCAGCCTTGAGGGCGGATAGAACGACGCCGTTTGGGCATGAAAAATCTGGGTCGTTGATCTCACTCGATCGAACGGTCCAGTCAATCCCCAGATATATCCAAACGACATCGTATATAGCCGATAGATCCAGGCCACCAGTTTCATTTGATCCAACGCCTCAGAACAATCCCCACAACCCGACCCA